GGTATATGATCCGCGTGGGCGGAGTGAACTTAGTTGTCTCCTTTCTAGCTTTTTGAGTAGTGAGTGCGATGAAATTCAGGTTGAATTGCCAAGGGTAGTTTGTGAATACTCGGATGTCTTTCCCGAGGATCTTGTCAGTTTACCGTCTCACCAAGAGATCGAGTTCTCTTTTGATTTAGTGCCTAGAACGACACCGGTTTCTATGGCTCTATATAGATTTGCACCTGCTGAATTGAGTGAGTTGAAGATTCAACTCCAAGAATTGTTAGATAAGGGTTTTATTCGCTCTAGTACTTCACCTTGGGGAGCGCCGACTCTCTTTGCTAAAAAGAAAAATGGAGCATTACGGCTTTGTATTGATTACAGGAAGTTGAACCGAGTTACTATTAAGAATAAGTACCCAATGCCTTGTATAGATGATCTGTTTGATCAATTGAAGGGGCCTTGTTGTTTCTCTAAGATAGACTTGAGATCGGGTTATCATCAGTTGAGGGTAAGGGAGAAGGATATCCCGAAGACGGCATTCCGTACACGGTATGGCCATTATGAGTTTCTTGTAATGCCTTTTGGGTTAACTAATGTTCCAACTGTGTTTATGGATTTAATGAATCAGATCTTCCGTGAATTCTTAGATCGTTTTATGGTTGTCTTTATGGACGACATTCTGATTTATTCACCTTCTGAGGAGGAACACAAGGAACATTTACGAGTAGTACTTGAGTTACTTAGAGCCCATAAGCTGTATGCTAAGTTTGAGAAATGTGACTTTTGGTTGGAAGAGGTTAAATTCCTAGGGCATGTAGTGTCAAGGGAAGAGGTGACTGTAGATTCATCCAAAATAGAGGCAGTGCAACATCCACCTAAGAATGCTTTCGAGATTCGTAGTTTCTTGGGGTTGGTCGGGTATTACCGTCGGTTTGTGAAGGATTTCTCTAGACTAGCTTCACCTTTGACTAAGTTGACGAGGAAAGAAATCAAATTCGTATGGAGTGAGACTTGTGAAAAGTCGTTCCAAGAGCTTAAGGTTAGACTCACCACTGCTCCAGTATTGATTATTCTGGAGAGAGGTTTGGGTTATTTAGTATATTGTGATGCTTCAAGGGAATGTTTAGGTTGTGTATTAATGTAAGAGGGTAAAGTGGTAGTCTATGGCTCACTGCAGTTGAAAACACATGAGAGAAATTATCCCACCCATGACCTAGAGTTAGCAGCAGTGATATTTGCCTTGAAGATTTGGAGGCACTATTTGTATAGTGAGAAATTTGAAGTGTTCTCTAATCACAAAAGTCTGAAATATCTATTTACGCAGAAAGACTTGAATTTGAGGTAGAGGAGGTGGATGAAATTCGTGGATGAAATTCATAGAGGATTATGATTTCGAGTTGCATTATCATCCTGGGAAGGCTAATATTGTGGCCGATGCTTTGAGTAGAAAGCCAATTAGCAGTGTAGCTTCTATCGCCATCCGAGAATGGGAAATGTTGGGTACTCTTAATGAGTTTGACTTGCATCTGGGTGAGTCTGTTGAGCCTGCGGCTTTGTTTTTAGTAGTTGCACAACCTACACTTGTGAATCGAGTGTTAGAAGTGCAAGAGGGTGACCTTGAGGTGAAATCGTTCCGAGAGAAGATTTCCAATGGGAAGATAGAAAGAGGTTTGACTGTGTATCCTGACCTGAGTGTGAGATATCGTGATCGCTTGCTTGTACCAAAGTCTTGCCAAGAGGAAGTACTCCGAGAGTTTCACTATTTGCGCTTTGCGGTGCATCCGGGAGGCACAAAGATGTATCATAATCTTAGCCGCCAATTTTGGTGGAGAGGTATGAAAAAGGATGTGGCTGTGTTTGTATCAAAGTGCCATACTTGTCAACAAGTGAAGGCCGAGCATCAGAGGCCAGCGGGTTTGTTGCAACCCTTGCCTATAGCTAAGTGGAAATGGGAACATATCACGATGGATTTTGTTGTGGGTCTTTCGAGGACTCAACGGGGTAGTGATGCCATCTGGGTGGTCGTAGACCGGTTGACTAAGTCAGCGCATTTTATTCCCATGCGTGCAAGTGACTCGGTAGATTATCTTGCCGACTTGTACATTAGGGACATAGTGAGGTTGCACGGGGTCCCTGTGACAATTGTTTTAGATAAAGATTCGCGTTTCACTGCTCGGTTGTGGCAGAGTTTGCAGAGTGCCTTGGGTACTAGATTGACTTTTAGCACTGCATATCATCTTTAGACTGACAGGCAGTCTGAGCGTACCATTCAAATCCTTGAGGATATGCTTCGAAGCTGTGTCCTTGACTTTAAGGGCTCGTGGGAGAGGCATTTGCCCTTGGTAGAGTTTGCCTATAACAATAGTTTCCAATCGAGTATTGGCATGGCACCGTTTGAGGCCTTGTATGGTTGATCATGTAGATCTCTAGTGTGTTGGGCCGAGGTGGGTGATGCACCTTTGTTGGGTCCAGAGTTGGTTCGGAAAACTACGAAAAAAGTTACACTTATCCGTAAGAGGCTAGCTACGGCTTAGAGTCGCCAAAAAAGTTATGCCGACCGTAGGAGAAGACCTTTGTCTTTTGAGGTGGGAGATCATGTCTTTTTGAAGATATCACCTAGACTGGGTTTGATGAGGGTTGGGAAGAGTGAGAAGTTGTCCCTTCAGTTTATTGGCCCTTTTGAAATCCTTGAATGGATTGGGGAGGTTGTTTATTGTTTGGCGTTACCGCCACAAATTTTCGGGGTTCATAACGTGTTTCATATTTGTATGCTTCGGAAATATGAACTGGATCCATCGCACGTGTTGGATTAGACCGACTTAGAGGTAGATGAGGATGCCTCGTATGAGGAGAGACCAGTAAGAGTCTTGGATAGACGGGATCAAGTTTTGTAAGGCAAGACAATTCCCTTGGTAAAGGTATTGTGGAAACATCACAGAGTCGAGGAGTGATTTGGGAACGTTAATTAGAAGTCCGAAGAAAATATCCAGATTTGTTTGATGATGCATGAGCATGTATTGAGAATTTATTGAATTAATGAAAAGTCTAAGCATTGTATATGTTTTAACTTATGAAAACATTGTATATGTTATGGTTATTTGGGAGGAACATGGATTCAATATAAACATTGCTTATGTTTTGAGAATTTGGAATATTGATGATGTTATATCATTTTTGGAAGCATTATATATGCTATGTACGATTTTTGAAAAATTTGGACTTTGTTAAACATTGTAAATGTTTTGGGAAAATTGAAAATTTCATTTTAATTTGGAACTTGTGAATCGAGTCAGTGTGAATAGATGACCGGAAGATGGGCCATAGTGTTGAACTTGTGGGAATAACATGGTTGTGAATAGTTCAATAGTGTTTTAGAGCCTGATTTGTAATTTCGGGGACGAAATTCTTTAAAGGGGGAGGGGGAGGTTATAACGACCCTGGTTTTGACCCTTCTCTTGTGGTGTTTCTTCCCCTTAATGTTGGTTATTGGGTTGTAGTTGTGCTTTTAGGACAGGTTGGTTACTTGTTTTTCTAAGCCTTTGTTGCCCAAAATTTGGCTCTTCCGCTTGAGCGGGCTTCTGAAATTTTGCTCTACCCTCAAGCGGGCATTCGGGGGCTCGAACGGGGGACTGTGTCTGCAAAAATGCTGAGAGAGAGTATTTTACGCTAGAGCGCAGGGTTTCACGCTGGAGCGGGGCTTTCCACTCTCGAGCGGACCACGCTTTATCAGATCGTGAAAGTGACATTTCAGATCATTTTTTGCTTTCTCTTTCTCTCTCTCTAAAAGTCTCCAAATTTCCAGATCTTGAGCTTCTCTCTCTCGAAACTCACATTCTCTCTAAAATTTCATCTAAATCCATTGAGTTCTTGACCCTAGTGTCTTTGAGAATAAGGTAAAGGGCTTCAAGAGCTTCGTATTGATCTAAGTAAAAGTGGGTTTCGTCGTTTTTGGAGTTCAACCTTGCTCTGCTCGTCTTCTCTTCTTGAGGTAGGGAATTTCTACACTCCAATATGGTTTTTAGCTTAGTTATTTGCTATTGTGTATAGATGATAAGATTTGGTTGTGGTTTGGACAAATCTAGGATTTGGGTGTGAAATGAAAAGAGGGGTTTTTGATAAAATTGGCATAAGTGGGTTTGAGGTTTGGATACAAGGTTGTATTGGGGTAAAATAGTTGATTTTGGTGTTTGGGTTGATATATGATGAAAGGGGGATTTTTGCCCTAATTTTGATTAAATTATTACTTTGCATAAATAATTGGGATTGACATTGAAAATGTGAAATTGGAAGGTTGTGGTTATAAATGGTGATATTGGATATGTAATATCTCACTTATGGAAGTTTTGAATAAACTATCTATTTTGATATTGAACATCCCTTTTGAAATAATTGCATTGGACTATTGATGGAGGATAGCTATGATTGTTGTAGAAATTGCATGAGGATTAGGCAATTTAATGCTAATCCATTGTTGATGTCATTGAATATGACTATGTTCACTACAACAAAAAAGGGTTTTTTCGGCACGCAGTGCATGCCGTAAAAACCCTTCTACGACGTGCAGCGCGCGTCATATTATGACAAGTCATGGAAAGTCATTCATTTTCAACGACATACTTTGTACGTCGTTAAAAACTATTTAACGACAGATTTTGTGCGTCGTTGTTACTTTTTCTACAACATGCTATAGCACGCTGTTAAAAACTATTTAACGGCAGATTTTGTGCGTCGTTGTTACTTTTTCTACAACATGCTATAGCACGCTGTTAAAAACTATTTAACAAAAGATTTTGTGCATCGTTTGTTACTTTTTCTACGACTACTTTTGCACGCCGTTAATTGGTGAGACAAATAACGACGCTGATTACGCACTGTAAAATATGTAATACAACGACTTATTATGCCTGCCGTAGAATATGCAATTTTTTTAAAAAAATTCAACAAGTTCTATTTGACAAATTTTGTATAATCTAACAAATATTACAAACAAGCATCAATCAACAACCAAAATATTGTTTCAACCATCAAAAGAAACTATATCCATATATAAGTTATGAACATTCAACAATTGTCTATACATTCCAAACATCCAAAAACTAACCTCAATTCAAAACCACCCAAAAAGAACTATCCTTAACTTCTAATTGTCCAAAAAGTTCTAAACCATCCAAAAACTATATCATATACAAGTGTCTAAACAAAATCCAAAACTATCCAAAGATGTTAGAGTTTCTAAACTATCCAAAACTATATCCAAAAGCATCAAAGTCATATAAAAAACTATTCATAGATATTAGAATTTCTACTCAAAATCAAAGCTGATGAAATGGTTTGGCCAAGCAATAGTGCTTCCAATAGTATCCTCAAGCACAAACATCTCACGATTAGGGCGAAACAATGGTGCATTGACTTTGACATGATTAACCCACACTTTCCAACACCCAGGGCCAAGAGGCACGTGATGTACCAATTGTTTAGAATCTATTGATGCAATTGTGCCTTCCGCAACCACCACCTTTGTCCCATCCCAATTCAACAATTTGCATTTGGCATTGTCCAAGTTAGATCCACCATTTCCAATTTCATTCTCATCATGCAACTATTATGAAAGCAAACATAAAATAAGCTAATGAATTGAAGACAAAATTAAGGTAATTAATAATGCCATAGAAAATTTACCCAAATGTCTTCATTTTCACTGCCTTCGCTATTTTCGTCACCCTAAAATTTTTTTAATACAATATCAAGTTATATTTGTTTACTTAAAAATTTAGTAGATGATGCGGGATCCATATGCAAAATTAACAAAAACTCTTAAGTAAAAGCAAGCAAACAAAAGTATAAACATAACAAAAATTGTAAGTAATAATGCCATACAAAATTTACCCAAATATTTTCTTGTGAGTGCATCTTATGTTCACCACCTTTGTGCATCCTATGTTCACCACTTCCACTGTTTTCCTTACCCTAAAAAAATTGTAATACAATGGTAAGAAGTATTTGTTTACTCAAAATTAATAGATGATAGGATCTATATGCAAAAATGACAAAAGCTTGAGTAGAAAAGGAGGCAAGCAAAAGTACAAGCATGAGAAATGTGCAATTATCTTATTTTTAAACTAAACTAACATGAAACCTATTTTTCATAAAAAGACTTTCCCTCAAATGATTTAAGGCAATTTTACCTGGGTTTCTCCATGAGAACATTTCCTAACCATTGCATCTTCACTTGGTTCCTACAAGTTTTAATTGAAATTTTTTTTAAAACTTTTATGAAACATCAATACATATAACATATATTGTCACATTCTTAATCTTTTTACCTCATTTTGCCTTTTTCCTTTTAAAATTTCAGCTCTCATCTCTTGGAGTTCTTGTTGTAAGAGCAGCATTTGTTGATTTAGTTTTCCCACATTTTGATTTTGGTACACTAGTGCATCAACTTTCAATGGCAATGCTCCAAATCTAAGCCCCCGTACACTACCACAGCGTTCTGAACCAAACGCATGAACAATTGCATTATCTTTGATAGACATTGGGCCTTCTTCTGTAGAAGGCTTGTGAAGCTCTTCAACCTTTTTCTACAATATATAACATTTATTAAAAATTAAATTATAATGCAATATATACATTTTTTTATTAAAAAAATGGTGATATCCAAAACTAATGCAATGCTATGCTATATCAACATTGGCAACAAATAAGCTAACAAATAAGCAATTACAAAGATATTGTATAGGTGTTTGGTGACTTAGTAAGGCAAGGGATGACATAATCTCTTTAATAACCCCATAAAAAGAGATTTTGCTCACAACTTGTGTGGTATCTCTCTTACTAGCTTGACAAAGAGTTCCTGCTTCAATGGAAACACCGCTATTTTGTGTAGCCCTCTCAACATTGGTTGTATGAAAGCAATGCCCATTAATGACATAACCCAAGTATGACATTGCATTATTTCTTGGGCTAGCTGCAAGCCATTTCAATGTGTTTGACACCTCACCACCACAAGAATTGATCTTCTCTTTTAACCATTAACAAAACGTACCCATTTGTCTAGAATGTAGTAATGCAGCATCCCTCAAGAAACGCTTATCCAAACGCTTAAGCTCTTCTGCATGCATCCTAATAAAAAAGTAAAATGGTAAAAACACAACATTATTTGAATAGACAATTACAAAGTAATATTTAACTCATCATACTTACTCTATATAAGGTTGGACTTCTGCACTGTTTATTAGAACACATCGATGAGCAATTTGCAACACATCATCTGGTATCGTTTTTGATTTTCCCGAAGTAATTGGGCATCCTTCTAGTATTGTTTCACTTTCAAACTCTGTATTGCGATTATGTCGAGCACCTATTTCAACTTCTTTCTTCATATACCCACTACAAAATTGCATACACTCTTCAACTAGATAGCATTCTGCTATGCATCCCTCAGGTCTTGCATGATTTTTAACATAACCTTTGAGTATCTTCATGTATCTAAACAACAATAAAATTTAGCTTAACAATTTTTTTTAGAAGTTTATTTATTTTAGACAAAAAATAATACTTATATTTAAATTATGACATAGACTAACCTTTCAAATGGGTACATCCAACGAAACTGCACTGGTCCACATAAGCGAGCTTCTTACCCTAGGTGGATTGTTAAGTGTACCATAATATCAAAAAATGATGGAGGGAAGAATCTTTTTAATATACACAAAGTCTCGGCAACATCATTTTCAAGTTGTTCTATCTTATTCCTATCAATCACCCTTTGACATAACTAATTGAAATAAGAGCACAATCGGAATATTACATTCCGTGGTCCTTTTGGCAAAAGTCCTCTTAATGCGACTGACAACAATTGTTGAAACAAGACGTGACAATCATGTGACTTGAGTCCAATTAAATTTCATTCTTGTACTGAAACACAATTAGCAATATTTGAGCTATAATCATCAGGCAACTTCAAATCTTGTAGCCTAGAACGAAAAATCTTCTTCTCATCCTTGGAAAGTGTATGTGATGCTAGTGGCAAGTAAAAATGGGATTGTTTATCCTCTGCATGCAATTCACTTCTAATTCCCATTTCCGCCAAATCTTTACGAGCCTTAAGACCATCCTTTGATTTTCCATTAACATTTAAAAGTGTACATAAAATGCTTTCACAAACATTTTTCTCAATGTGCATCACATCCAAGTTATGACGTAAAAGCAATGCCTATAACATCAAACAAAGATTTATTATTTAAAAAATTAGAAGAAAAAATTTAACTAAGACTAACGATTAACAAAAGAATATGAAATCATAATTTCCAAACACTTACATCCCAATATGGTAGATTAAAAAATATGGACTTCTTCCATGGTTGGACGCAATCAGACTCTTTTTGGTCTTTTTTTTGTTTGGTCTGGTCCCTTTTTCTTTTCCTTTCCTTTGTAGTCTTTCCCCAATTAGTTTCAATGTCCCTTGTTGCATCAAACACATCAGATCCACTCAATGGTTTAGGATTCCCCAGAAGTTCTTGCTTTCCATCAAACCAACTTTTTTTTATTCGAAATGGATGGTCCGGAGATAAAAATCACCTATGCCCCATGTACACTGTCTTCTTACTGCGATTCAACCACTGCGAGCATGTGTTAATGCTACATATAGGACAAGCAACTTTTCCTTTTGTGGCACATCCAGCTAAGTTCCCATAAGCTGGAAAATCATTTATTGTTCACATTGGCATAGCCTTCAAATTAAACATAGACTTGCTGGCTGCATCATAGACCTCGACACCATTATTCCATAATTTCTTGTAGGTCTTCTATAAGTGGTTGCAGATACAAATCTATGGCATTCCTTGGTTGCTTTGGTTCGGGTATAAGTAATGTCAACATTATATTTTCTTTTGCCATGCATAACCATGGAGGAAGATTGTAAGTCACCAACGTCACTGGCCAACAACTATACCTTGAACTAAGATTTGCAAAAGGATTAAATCCATCTATTGCAAGACCAAGTCAAAGGGTTCGTGGATCCGATGCAAAAGAGGGCCACTTCTGATCAATTGAATCCCATGCCAATTAATCAACTGGATGTCGCATCTTTCCATCTTGACTTTTGTGAGTAGAATGCCAAGTTAATTATTCTGCTTTTACTTGTGACCTGAACATTCTTCTAAATCTTGGAATTATGGGAAAATAATGCAACACCTTCGCTGGAACCCCCTTTTTAATCTTCTTAGTTCGCTTATCTACTTTCCAACATGAACTATTGCATTTCGGGCATGTCTCCGTATGCTCTATCTCTTTTCTAAATAAACAACAATCATTGACACAAGCATATATTTTGTCATATCCTAGATCAAATGCTAGCAACTTCTTTGTTGAATATATAGATTGCACAAGTGTGTTGCCTTCTGGTAGCATGTCAGACACTATTCTCAAGAGTTCATCAAAACTCTTATCAGATGCCCCATGCACAACTTTATGCTTATATAAAGCAACAATTGCTGAGAACTTAGTGTACTTTGTATAACCTGGATATAAAGGAGTTTCAACATCTTCTAATGCTTGTGTGAACTCCCTCTCTCTACTTTCATTTGTAGGTTGCGAAAAATCATCTTGTGCATAAACATCTCTAAACATCCTATAAGTCTCTAAAATTTCAACATTCTCTTAAACTTCTATAGATTCACTTAGTTGTTCCCCGTGAAGAACCCATGACGTATATCTAGGATCTATCCCTTTCATGGCCAAGTGCTCGAACACAGTATCACATTGTTGTTGTGATAGGTTTTGACAACTTCCACAAGGGCATATGATCATATCGAGATTCTCTGCATTCTCTTTAGCCATATTGACAAATTTTCTCACTCCATCCAATATTCATTCGATACTCTGAAAATTTTAAATTATTATTAATTCCATCCAAAAATAAATAAAAATTGAGTAGCTTAGCATTTGAAAGCATATTTATGGTTGTGTTTGGAAATAAATCTTGGAAAATGTACCCATTGTTTATCCATCTTGAACTTTCCACTTGCTAACAAAATTTTAAAAATGTTTAAATAAAAATTATATATTTAAAATAAAAAAAATAATAAATTTTTCTTAAACATTTTTAAATATTTAAAAAAAATAAATCCCAAAAAAAATCTAAATACAACTCAAAATTGAAATCTGTATAGTTCATACATTTGTAAAATGTATAATAAAATGATTTATGCAACATTGTATAAATAATAATGTCATTAATTTACACTTATATATTGATTGAACATTTCCATCAAAGAGATTCTGGAATATCATCCCACTCCTACAGGCTAAATTCATTCAAGTATGATAGCGTGTTGCAGTCATCACCATAGAAAATGGGTTAACAAGTCTACCTATAGAGAAACCTTGCCAACTTCAATGTAGCCTCTAGTTCAAAGCTTAGGGGACATACTCTGCATGCCAAATAATTGAAAAGATAGCCATCAAAAGGGTTTCATAAATTATGAAGTGAATAAACATGACAAGACAATAAATAATAAGCATTAAATAAATTTCAAAATAATAACATTAAGCCACTGGAAGTTTTTGTTATTTGAATAATAGTATTCTTCAAACTTATATAATTAATCAACATTTTTTTGGATTCACAACAAAGAGAAATTTGTTAATAACCAGAGAAAAATTAGAAAATAATACCAAAAAAAAAAGTATAATAAGGGCAAGAAGTCCACCAAAAACAGAAGGAAAATACATGAAATATTACAAACACATGAAATATTACAAACTACATACATCTTTTCAATGTGTAGTATAAAAATGGCAATTTGACTAAGTCTAGAAGCAAAAATTAATATATATATACAGATATTTTCTTTGCCAAATCACTATTCTCTTACACTCTATTATTATTGATTTTGATCTCTTTCTTTATATATATATATAAATTCAAATGCAAATGGCAATCTGATGAAGAATAGAAGGCCCAAAATTCATAGCAGCACACACATAGCACACATAGCAGCAGTCCCAAAATTCACAGCAGCACACACACAGCAGCAGGTCACTCCCAACTAACAGCAACAACAGCAACAACAGCCAGACAACAACACAATAAAGGAACCAATACCCAAAATTCGCAGCAGTAGGCATTAACCAAGACCCAAAATTCGTAGCAGTAGGCATTAACCAACACCCAAAATTCGCAGCAGCAGGCATTGACCAACACCCAAAATGTAATTTACATTTTTAGATCATTAACACACCCCAGCAAATGTGGCCAAAATCCCCTCCATGAGTGGCCCATCCAATAGTTGTTGAAATTGAAGACCATATTTGGTTTACTCTGATACCATGTTAATTACAAGCTAGTCCAAAAGTTAAATATTCTAAAAGTATGACTCAATCATCAATCAAGTAATCTGTAAAGGAAGATATTCAAGACAGGTAACCAAAGTTGTATAAATAAGAAGCACTGGGTAAGGTATGGACTCAGTTAACTATTTCAAACTCAACAAGATCTCACAGATAGCCTGTAAGCTAAGAGGCCTTTTGATAAGCATACTGCTACTGCTACACCCACAGTCACAACTACACCTACACCTACACCTACACCTACACCTACACCTACACCTTCAGTTAGTTAGCTATAGTTACATAGTTAGTTAGTTTATTAGATTGGTTAGTTGGTTAGTTAGATCAGTTGTAACTCTTAGTGTATAAATATCTGTAATAGTTGATTGAGTGAATAAGAAAGATGATTTCATATTCTTACAATACCCTTTTCTTCAGTTCAGTTTCACTATCTTAAAGACAAGTTATTGGTGCTTCCATGCCCCATCAACTTGAGGGGGACTGATAAGCATACTGCCAATGCTAAGCATACTGCTACTGCTACAACTACACCTTTAATTAGTTAGCTATAGTTACATAGTTAGTTAGTTTATTAGATTGGTTGGTTGGTTAGTTAATTTGTTAGATCAGTTGTAACTCTTAGTGTATAAATATCTGTAATGGTTGATTGAGTGAATAAGAAAGATGATTTCATATTCTTATTACCTTTGCTAAAGTTGAAACCCAGCTACTTGTCACTTGAATTCTTGCATTAAGGTTATCCAGCATGATAAATTACTAAGACTGAACCATAATTAGGAAGTGAGTGTGCGTGGGTTTGTGAAGGAAACCTCTGCATTTTGCAAAGAACTAATTACTAGATGTGAAAAATGGTTAAGAAATGCTATTCTAACATAAACGCTGAAGTAATGTAAAAAAGAAATACATTTAAAAGCTAGAGAGATTAAGAAATACTATTCTAACATAAACGTTGAAGTAATCTGTATATGAATGCAGTCCAGTAAATAGCTGTCACTGAATTCACAATTATATTAAGAGAAATACAGGGATATAATTTTCAGCCAGTTTTAGCAAATTTCTGCTCCATTCACTAAAGTAAGATATCATTATATGCCATTGATACCCAAGCTAAATAGAATACTGGATCAATGCACCCAGAGAACTACATTGGCAAAGCTCTGCTATTATTCATGGCTTATTTCGTTACTACTGGATGATGATAACGATAATGATCATGTAAATGTAAATTAAAATAATAATAGCATTAGACAACTAACAGCAGCAGCAACACACACAGCAGCAGCAGTCATTTAAAATAATAATAGCAATAGACAACTAACAACACTTCATTCCAAACAATGTATCCTTTTGCGAATTTATTATTTATTTATTGAATAAAAGAAGAATAAAAGGGGGGGAGGGAGGACTTAATTTGCTAGTTTGGGAGGGATTGATAGTGAAATAAGATGGGACTTTGATTTCATTTATTTTTGTTTTTTGATATCATTTAAAGCAGCACACACAGCAACAGCAGTCTACTCCTAACTAACAGCAGCAGCAGCCACACAACAACACAATAAAGGAACCAACACTTGACCATCAACTAGGCTACTATTGGATTTTGAGCCAAATCTCCAATTTTATCCACTGCCATCATGTATATCATTTGGGAAGAGTAGGAAGTCCATTACTATACCAAAACAGAACATGAATCAGAGGTCCTCTTCATTCATCTCATTTTAAGTTGCATGAATCTTTTCACCCACAAAGTACAGGTTGAGCATAACAATTAACAATAATTTTGGGTTTCATTATCTTTCTTGGGAGAAAGAAGGGTAATGGAATGATATGGTGATCATTGTTTTTCAATCAATTTATTGAACGAAGAATTATTTAGTAGTTAATCATACCATAAACTTAATTTTTGTCCCCTCATTGTGGAGGACAGACAAGGATGCCCCCCTTAAACTAAAATATCACTATGCTATCCTTCGATCTCACTCATCATTTTGAAAGCATGTTTGCTATATTTTATTCTAGGTTAAAATTCAATAACTTATTTAAAAAAATAAAATTCTAAAACTTATAATTAACACATAAACTGTACAAAATCCCAAAATAGAAACCATCATAAATGGCTCATTTAAATTAACAGCAAACAGCACCATAATAAAAGTAGAGACAACATCCCCATATCTCAGAAAGTTTTCAATCCATTTCCCACTTCATACATCATTCCAGTGGCCCCAAAGAAAAAAAAACTCTCAACCATCATTTGTGTGTTTTGTGGAGATAATAATTAGAAAGGTAAAAGTGGAAAAAATTTATAATAATACTCAAATTTAAGTAGTGGACCATGTACTAACATATAATATAATCACATTGCACAACCAAAAGGACAGGATTGCTTCCATTGACAAAGCACAAAGCAAAAACAAAAAAAGAAAGAAAAGGGTAAATGATCCCACTGTTATGCATCATGTATAACAGATGTTTTTAATAACTCAAAAGTTTGACATTTACACTATATCTTGTATGACTCAAGGAACCTAAAAACCAAAAATTAAAAAACCTCACAAAACAATTGAGTTCCTATGAACCCAAAAGCCAACACAGCAGCACTAAAAACACAAATGGTGGTTAGAAACATAGGTTAAGATTGAAAAAATAATAATAATAAAAGAAAAAAAAGAAGTAAGAAAGTAAAGACCAATGCTTCTACTCCCACTCCTACAATAGCATCTCTTTTTCTTTTTTTTTCAATTGAAGCAGGCCATGGTTGCGCAACAATGGCAGGACAGTGAGGAGGAATAAGGGCAATTTTGCAAGACAAATGAAGACAATGCGTAAAATCTACGCTATGGTAATTTCAGTTTAAAAATAAAAATAGAGTTTTTAATCACAGATTTTCTGCTAATTTATGATTAAAAAAAATTTCCATAAGGGCTGAGTTTTTCTGGTCTCATGGATTGATATCGGATTCGACCTACAAACTCTTCACTTCCTCCTGTAACTATTCTCGCTATGTAGGCAGAGAAACTAACCGAATAAAATGGGGAGAGAGAGAGAGAGAGAGAGAGAGGGGAGGGGGAATCCGTACATATCTCAAGAACGAAACCCTTCCCCTTCAAATAGTCGATCGTACCCGTCGCCGAACCAGCCTCACCGCCGAAGGGAGCGTCTAGATCAAAATCTTGCACCGCGGAACCAGTCTCCCTTTCGAACCCTCTCTCTTCTCCCTATCTTCTATTATCTGATAAACAGCTCTCTATATTCCTTCTATATTCCTTTAGAACCCTATTAAGAAGCCAAACAGTTTGTACTTTGATTAAAAAAAAATTCCTTCCGCTTAATGCTTTGTTCACTGGCGCCAAATCTATTTTATTTTGGCGCCTAATTTTTTTTGGGTCATATCATTCACAGCCTAAATTGTATGCCGTAAAAAGTAAAATATGTTTTACGGCTAATATACATGTATCGTGTATAATTCATATATTGACGGCATGTCATTTACATGTTATAGAAATTTTATTATTCACGGATAACATTGTAAGTTGTAAAAAAATTATCATTATTAACATTTATGGCATACGTAATAGATACGTCGTGATTAGAAAATTATTTACGACATGCAAAAAATAAAAGCCGTAAAAATGAAAAACCACGGCTTGCATGTACTGTATGTCGTTGATGTGAAGCCTTAAAAACTTAGTTTTGTTGTAGTGGTTATAAATACATTGTATATGTATGTTTATTGAGAGGAGAAATGAAATGTACTCCATATGTGATTATATTTATAAATACATTATATATGTATATTTGTTTGGGAGGAGAAAGGGGATGGACTCCATTTTAAAGCAAGTTGGCCAGAGTGTCCTGGATGAAAGGTCCGAAATTTCATATATAAATGGGTACCGATTCCTTCAGACGAAATATCCGTAAAATGGCAGATTTGAAGTGTTTATGTGTGTTTTGCATAGTTGGAGAATCATTGAGTTGTAGTCTCATTTTGGTTGTTGAAAGATAATGAATTTAACTCATGAATTGAGTAGCACATATGAACTGGAAATGAATTAAAGGAAAATGGAATGAGGTTAGGTCTTAGTGGCATATGAATATGTAGGCCTTGTGGATGTTTTAGTATCGGCATTGTTTATGCATGTAGTATTTATACCTTTGCTAAACCTCATATATTGTGTTAGATTATCTCTATTGGGCTGTTGGCTCACTCTATACGAGAATATCATTTTCAAGTATAAGTGAGATGTTTCCTCCAAGGCAATAGCATGGATGGACTTTCGGGAAGCAAGAGCTTCTTATTTATGCCTTATGTGTGTATGTTTATTATTTGTAAAGCCAAGGGTTTAAGATGTAATGAGCAAGACTCAATTTGTGTAACCAAGCAATGACTTGGAAAGATGTAGGCATTTAACTGTCTGTTAAACAGTGAACTCTGATATATGAAAGTATGTTGTTTCTCATATTTTTTCTACATATGAGTTATCTTTATGGTATTATTTTGGGGGTGGTACAGTTGACATTGAGCAACATTTGTTGATTTGGGCAAATTAATATGAATTTTAAATAGGTATAATTGGACAGATTCATAAGTTTAAGTTAAATTTGCCACCTCTAATTTTTTCCCCCCACTTTTCCCCCACTTTTCCCTTTCTTCCCATCACGCACCCACCCACCTACCTACATACCTAAACAATGAAAATCACTACTCAAATCCAAAATCCAAACAAAGCCCTAAAGGATGTAACATAACAATGACTTCACAATCAATAATAATTTGTTCTAGTGATCACTGTAAATATTATCTGTGGCCTCCAAGAGAAAACAAATGGTGTAACTACTAAAATAATTACAATTACTTTGAAAAACTGATGATAGCATGCATAAGTTAGATACATTTAATTATGTTGCAAGAGGAAGCAAGAATACTATGTATTAAGTGCAAAATATTAGTGTACAGTGAGAGCATTCATCGAGCTTGAATCGTAGTAAGTGTAATATCATTTATAGATGGAGCTCCACCATTTGCTACAAACGAGTGTGGACCGCCAGGTTTGTTAAAGACGAATGCCGGTTGTTTAGAAGGAGGCAAGGTTGTTTCGTTACACAACATGAAAGCAACATCTGACATAGTTGGTCGATCAGTGCTAAATTCTTGCATGCACAAGAGACCGATGTGAATGCATCTCAAAACTTCTTGACTTGAACACGACTTGGCTAACGATGAATCAACTATATCCAGGGCTTTTTCTTCTCCCCATAAGTTCCAAACCTGAAACATTATATAACATCATCTTTGGGTAATTAATCAAGCAACAAATTTCTAGGTAATAGAAAATTCTCCATTCTATTGCAGCTATAGGGTTTTCCATTAATAATACATTGATTGACTTACATGTCCAATCAAATTCACAAAATTGTCTTGATTATAACTGTTGTTTTTTCTGCCACTAATGATCTCTAATAATAAAACTCCAAAGCTAAATACATCTGATTTTATAGAAAAAAGCCCTTCCATTGCATACTCTGGTGACATATAACCACTGCATTTACGACATGAAACAATAATTAGAATTTAATGCCTTTCTTGCACATTTCTCTCACTCCACACATGAATGTATAAGTGATACTTACTATGTTCCAACCACCCTATTTGTGTTAGCTTCAATCTGGTTCGCTCCAAATATTTTAGCCATACCAAAGTCTGATATTTTGGGGTTCATTGAAGCATCGAGTAAAACATTACTTGCTTTTAGGTCCCTATGGATTATTCTTAGTCTAGAGTCTTGGTGAAGGTATACCATCCCACGAGCAATTCCCAAAATGATCTCGAAGCGCTTTCTCCACTCTAGAGATGAGCCTTTTGTTTTATCTGGGCCAAAGTTAAAAGTAAATTCTATCAACAAATCGAAGGTACTCCTATATTTTTACATAAATTTTAGTGATAATAAACAAATGAACTCAAATAAAAAAAATTAAGCATACCAAAGATGAAAGAGTCTAAGCTTTTGTTTGGCAGGTATTCATAGATCAACATTTTCTCGTCTTGTTGAATGCAACATCCCAATAGTCTCACTAGATTTCTATGTTGGAGTCTAGCAATAAGTGTAACTTCATTTTTGAATTCCTTCACCCCTTGGCCCGAATTTTTTGCTAGCCTTTTGACCGCTATTTCTTGTCCATTATGTAACCGACCCTGAAATCAATGCACAATTAACTTATTTACTCTCCAAATACAAATAAATCATAATTTTGAGATAATTTTAATCTCTGAAGGGTGTCTTGCCTTATACACTGTTCCAAAGCCACCTTGACCGAGCTTGTTCGAGGAAGAAAAATTTTCAGTGGCGGCAACAATGGTGGTTAGAGCAAAAAGTGGTAATTCGGCATTTGTTTCACTTTCATCAAATTGATTTCCCGTTTGGATGGTTTTAAAGGATGTTGAGCTGTTGGAACTAAATAACAAGTTGTTCTGTCGTCTTTTTACTGTCACACAACTCAATGAAAATCTTATCAAAATTCAAATATAGTCTTAAATCACTGACATCATATTTGATGATCACATATGATTTTTCATGCTACAAAATTTGAAAACCAATAATGATAGAAGATTAATGTTGTTTTTATTACCTTTTCTCTTCCTCATCACCAACCAAGAAAGTAGCCAGATTACAAAAAACAAAGCTGCAACAGAGGACACTACAATTGCCACCACCACGCCCTTCTTGGCATGAGATTGTTGTGACTTCAAATATTGGGCTGAAAAGAGGATAAAATAGCCACTCCATTTATAAATTTATTGTAAATAAAAAGCTAATAATTTATGCTTGATTTTTCTTATTTGTTCTTTTATTTATGCTACAAAAACAAAGAATAGAGAAAGAGAAAATGCTTTCATAGCAAAAATAAGTTCAAGTTTGCATGTTTCTCAAAATTTGGAATTCATAGCACATTAAGTTCATTGAATAAGCAATGAGCATAATAATATGTTTATTATCTTTTTGTCGACATAATATTGGTCTAATGAGTTTAACCACTCATGTATATATCCAATGTAGTATTGACGATTAGACTGACATATAGAATAATAATATAAGATGATAAAAATAGATGATCATTATAGCATTACTCTACAATTAGTGTTTCAACCCCATGGCATGGCATCTACCTCCCCTTATGTGATCTTTACAATAAAATATAATTTAAAAAAAAAAAGAAAGAAAACAAATAATATTTGGTTTCTCGTTGGTTGGAGAGAAGTCTAATCTTGTACATTTGAACTCATGGTGTCTTCAACATGTTCCATTCTAGTAATTTGAGTTATTCATTTTGTAAGTTTTTTGTGTGTACGCCATTCATAATAAAATAAAATAAAAAACTTAATCTAATAATCGTAGATATATGATTTCAATAGATTTATCTTTCAAAAAAAAAAAAAAAAAACAAACAATTAAAAAAAATAGACAAAAAGTTTTCTTTCGTAATAAATTATTCATTTCAAAGACAAATCTGATAAACTTGTGTAGTCACGATCATTACAGTAGGACTACAAAACTTACTCTATAAGACAATTTTAGGATAAATTTGATTGTTCCTTTTTTTATAGATAATCTATAAATAGCATCCAACAAAACAAATAGTATCAAAATAGAACTCATAATGAATTTCATTAAGGCAACCAAACCAGTTTGATATTTTTTAACCTAAGGCTAAACAATAGGATGGTTTATGAACAAGCATGTTAGGGTTAAAAATGAGTAAATCTACATACATATAATTAAATTAAAGATTAAAAAAATATATTAAAATTTTAGAGAAAACTAAGAGCATTAACTTGTTAAGGGTTGTATTAGTAAAAAAAAGTTTACTTTTCTCCACAATAGAGTTGTTAGTGCAATTACTAAAGTTTTTCGATGCTAAAGCGCAGGTCAATTGCGCAAAACAAAATGATTTGCAAAACAAAATGCTTGTATGTTATTCGTAAAAAATATGGGAATGCTTATATGCATTGGCATGATGATGAGGGGTAGCAGCTGAATCTGAATTGTTTGGTTTGTGCCTTGGTCAAAACAGGGCCCATAGTCTTGTTTTGTTTTGTTTTTCCCTTCTTGTGTTGTTTCCTTCCTCTCTTTTTGATTATTTTGATTGGTTCCTCACCAATTTTGGATTAAGTGTTAGCAAAGGATTGCGCTTTCTTATTGGTGCCAACCTAGTTGGGATTGGTAAGGTTAGTTATGATGCTCTTTGCACTTCCCTTCTTTGTTGATGTAAGTTTTCGCTTGTTTCGTACTTTCTTCATCAATAAAGTTTCCTTTACTGATAAAAAAAAAAGAAAAGAAATGAAAAGTTCACAAAACTATAAAATTATGAATATTAGTTTATTTGTATATCATTACTCACTCCATGTATATTTTAAAAAATATATTTTTTTCTTATTATTGGAAAATTTACTTTTTAACAGATGCTTAAAGGTCTTACTAATATAGCGCCATAATTCTTATGTAGACTTCCAATTTTTTGGACTTCTACCAACTAATTTGAAAATTTACAAAACCTTACTTAATAACCAAAATTAATCACAATCCTTCTAATTCTTTCGTAGACGAATACTCTAATTTTTTTGTTATATTTTATTTTGAGCTCATAGCACGGTGCTATCACAATACTCTTCCTGAATCCTGAAAGAGAAAGGAGGGAGGCAAGTGGCAGTAGGTGTGTGAAAAAAGAAGAAAGAGAAAGAGATGAGAAGATAAAGAAAGCGATAGAAAAAGGAGTAGGACCTATTTTTATTTTTTTTGGTAAATTATACTCACCTTTCCTGAGGTTTGGAAAAAATACAAATAGTCCTATACTTTTGACATAATTATATTAACCTCCATGTTAATAAAGCTAAAGTGGCTTAAAACATTGCAAATAGTGGGTAGAGATTGATATAAACAAAGATGAATATACATTTTAGTATAAAAGATGTGACAATATTTTTTTCATTCATACGACTAACAAATTATTAATAAAATATGACCTAACAGTTACCTAAATTAAAAACTTTAAAGGAGACCAATGTAATAATATAAAAAATATGAGACTAGCTGTATTTTTTTTAAACATCAAGGGAGATGAATGTATATTACCCTTTTTTTTTTTTTTCTTTTTTGTATATATATACCACTTAGCACATTTATTTTAACACATTTATTACAGCATAACTTACTTTCTAAATTAACAAACTCTTAAAACATATTTTAAGAGTTTTTCAACATGATTGGCCATGTTTAAAATTCTTGTTTCAAGAAATTCAGGATTAATTTTCCTTCAAACCCTTTATGTCTCTATTTATATATATATTTTTTGAGAATTTCAATTCGGACCTATATGATGATTCAAACTGTCTATTTCATACTTCTTGCAATAAAAGCCATTTATATTTTTTCATCAATAAAATTTTCTTTTTTACTGATTAAAAAAAAAGAGTCATTTATGTAAAAAGAAAAAAAGTTTTATCGAATATTTATAAACACAAGAACAAATTATATTTTGTTTTATAAAATAAATGACAAATATGATTATTAACGTAAATCTTTCATTTTATAAAATAAAATATAATTTGTTTATATATTTATAATTGTCCCATAAAATTGTTTTTTTTTACATAAATAGTCTTTATTACAAAATATAGGAAATAAATTATTTGAATCAACTGTATGTCTTGGATTGAAGTCCAAAAAAACAATATAAAGTGATCCGAAGAGATGAATATGAAGGAAAACTTAATATCAACATGACAGATTGATTGCATACCTAATTCGACAGCATCAACGCGTATGTATAAATCTTGGCCTCCACTTGAAAACTCTCTTGTGTCCATCAAGTCCCCATGCCACGTCACACATCCACTCTCAATCCCCCCAAGTGAGATCTCTGCACTGCTATACCCTTGGCATGAACAGCTCTTCAAGCACTCTGATTCACATTCTTTTAATCCAATAGTTTTATTGAAAAGTGCTGTCAAAGTGTATGGTAACTTAGCACGTGCCATTTTGATAAAACCCTCTTGATTTTGACACGTGCCTCCTCTACGTTTTCTTTTGCATCCGCTTGACCCGTCCCTTAAGTACCAGTCACGTGCCAACTTGGGCTCGAACCCTGGTAGACACCTGCACTCGAACGCCGTAGCATTCACAGACGAGTCACAGTTGCCATTTGCACCACAATGACTGTAGTAGTCGCATTGATCCTTGGGGGCCGACCAGACCCCAATCCATTGTTGGTGGTCCCCATGCCATATCTGCCTCTCTATTGTCCCCGATTCACTCACAACCATTCTTGAGAAAATCGAAGCATCATGGATGACGTCTGACATGGAAACCTCGTTTTGATTGTCGACGAAGCTGAAATCGAGGATAACATTGGGTGCCATCTCTGGTACCCCACTCCATCTAACCCCATTCCACGGTCCGGTTCTCCATAACTGGACCAAACCCTTATACAAAAAAAACTCCGGATACCCAATAAGGTCTATTTTGAACGAGTACTCTCCGATTCCCGGATCATCACGTGACTTCCAAGATGTCAGAAACCTGTTCAGTTGGGTTCTCCGGTCCACCCCAAGTTTCATTAAAGGAAGCATGGTGTCGGTAGGATAATCAAAACTCTGCCACACGACAGCCCCCTTACTATCACCTTGAAACACCACCAAATTCCCTGAATTCAACAATTGAGCTGAAAAGACATTCCCCGAGGCCGACACATTGGTCGACCAGACCGGGATTTTCTTATTCGGACCGTGAATGACGAGGTTTCCGGTGTTGTCGAAGGAGAGAACTCCTGATGTGTCATTGATTGGCTTGTCTCTGTTTGCAACCCACACCACAGTTTGTTCTGAAACATTGTTGTACCATATTCCAAGGTACCGGTTGGTGGACTTGCCAGGGCTGAAGAACCCGAGTGCGAAGGTCTCGTTGTCGGAGACTAAGAATTGACCATCCTTGAGAGATTGGATTGTTGTTATGGTGTCTCTGGCCGTGCAAAATTGGAGAAGGAGGAGAAGAATAAAAGAACTCATGAGGAGGTTGGTTTCATGAGACATGGTGATCTGGTTAATAATTAGTTTTCCGAAGGTTTTTGTTTGTTAGTATTCCACAACTGTCTTATTCTTGTAGGTTTCATTTCAATATCACCGATTTTCCTTTTGTTTTCACTACTAATATAGTAATATGTCATACCGAAAATTTTACAGTACACATCCTTCAAATAGCATAATTTTATTTCTGAATTATAAATTATTGTAATTTGGTTTGCTATTCTAATTTGTTGATTACTTTGTATTTGACAAAATGCTTGAATGAGAAAATACTCAACTACCTTGCTTGGCTTACCGTCTTTATTGAATTTGTTTCTATATTTTTTCACAATTTAAGTGTATGTGCATAAAAAAATACGTAAGTAGAAAATAATGGAAACAATAATTTTTTTATTTTTTTTTCAAAACAAACATAAAGTTCAACAGAAAGAAAGAGTAAAAGAACAAAAAAAATTTTTTATTAAAAAGTGCCGCAGGATATAGTTCTTTTTTTGTGTGACGGATACTAATATGATCATTGAGTTCAAAGATTATATCAAAGAATTTTTTATTAAAAGCTGTAATGCTATTTATATGATTCTGAAAATTGAAAGATTTAACATTGTAATGGGACATGTAAAAAAATACATAAATTAATAATTTTATTTTGATTTTTATATGAATGCTTACCTCATCTTTGATGGGTTCTTTCAAAAAATTATCTTGATTATCACTTTCATTCATTGTTCGATTGTTCAAAGTTTATTTTAAGGTTTAGCGTTTCAAAATAATAAAAAAATAATGATATTAATGATAATGGTGGAAAAAAAAAATGGTGAGTTTTGATAGGGTGGATTGGAGTTTTGGAGTACAAAAAAAGAAAAAGAAGTAGAATGACAAGAAGAAGAAGACAAAATAACTTTGATCTCTTGGGAAAGAAGGTGTAGAGATTTGAATAGGAATAATAAATTAGGATGTACCATGAGAAAAAAAAAAATTGTTTTAGGGTTTAATATGTGTTGCCCTAATTAGTAAATTCACATTAGGATATAATAAGAATTAAAATTTACAAATTTAAATTGTCCGTACTGAGATATTTTTTGGGTTCAAATAGAATGCCCCTTTATTGATTTAGGCGGATTAATATGGATTTTAAATAAGTATAATTGGGCAGATTCATGAGTTTGAGTTGGGTTTGTCACCTCTAAAAAAATACTTGGGAGGCTTATGTATAGGTCCTAATAAGTTAACTTATTATTCAATAGGTCATATCATAATTAATGACATTTTTCATCAAATACTATTAAAAAAAGGCTACTAATTGTTAATTTTCAGCAGTAGTTTGAAAAGTTTGTTACAAAAAATTTCACTAATTATAAGTTTTAACAATAGTTTAAAAAAATCGTCACAAAAAAGTCACTAATTTTCAACTTTCAATGACAGTTTGAAAATTTTGTTATAAAAAAATGTCACTAATTGTAAATTTAGCTACAATTTATAAAAATCGTGACAAAAAACGTCACTAATTGTTAAATTTTTAGTGATATGTAAAAAATTGTTACAAAAAATTATTTTTGGTGACGATTTTGCTAAGACTTATTTTTAATAGAACTTAATGGAAATTAAGTCGAACTATTAAGACTTATTAGTAGTTTATCCAAAATACTTTGCCACAAAAATACGTAATAAGAGTGCATATGATACACACATTTTGACCGATGTGTACCACAGCATTAACCCATACTATAAGTGGTGTGTACCCCATAGGATTTTGAGAAGTCTTATTTGAATTCAAAATTTAAAGATATGAAGCATGTTTGAATTGAAAAATTGAAAAATTAAAAAATAAAAAATTGAAGCAATTAATACATAGATTTAGATCTAAGTAGTTATAATGTCTTAGGGTTATTTTGAGAAAACTGAAAAAATTGTCTTTATACCAACTTCAGTATTGACTTTTTATAATATAGAATAGATGTAACAAATTATCTCTTGTCCATTGTAGAATTTATCACAAAGTCTTATTATAATTCAATTCATTTAATTTTTATGTTCTTCTGAATAAATCAATTTTTTTTATAACTAATTTAATAATCATAACGACATAATTTCACATATTTATTTTTGAAAATTGAATGACAAAATTGACTTTTTATAATATAGAATAGATGTAACAAATTATCTCTTGTCCATTGTAGAATTTATCACAAAGTCTTATTATAATTCAATTCATTTAATTTTTATGTTCTTATGAATAAATCAAATTTTTTATAACTAATTTAATAATCATAACGACATAATTTCACATATTTATTTTTGAAAATTGAATGACAAATATGAATCGAATTATGAAAAAAAAAAAAAACTTATGATGAGCTCAACAGACTTGGATTTAGACTTGAGCTTAGGCAACACCATTAATGTACATAATGGACTAAAGAAAATCTCTGGCCCTTTCATATTTATAAACGAGAGATCCATGTGTGCGTAGGTATAAAATATGGAAGTATTGGAAAGGCAAACAAGTTAGTGGACAATGTTGGAAATATTTATGGTTTTCTTCATACTACATAAGGAAACCTGAGATTTGGGTAACTGGTTATAGATTTGGTGGTAATACTCCACAAATAGAAATCTTGGCTCTAGGGTACTATTTTTCACAATTTCAAGAGTGACTCTAATACTATCAAACATTTTACTTTAATAAAAGTACATAAAAAATGTGTTCTATCTTTTGCCTAGACCTTAAATCCTAAACTCTGATATAGAAGAGATGAAAAGGAAATTACAAAAAAAATAAAATTGAAGAGAGAATCAAAACAATGTCAAAAAAGAAAAAATCAAATAAAAGCAGATAAGAAAAGACGGGAGAACTGCAACAAATAAGAAGAATAGGAGAGAGATATAAAATAAATGCGTGTAGAGTTGGACTATGAAAATTAGGACTGAATTGAATTCAAATTGATAAAGTAGTTTCACCAGTCTTTTGTTTTTGAAATATTCGTCTAAATAATTTTCTTTGTATAAGCAACTTTGAATTTTCAACTACAAATATGAAAATATTTTAGAGGGGATGAGTATCAAATTTTTCAAAATGTTAATGGCGAACTTATATAATTTAGACATATTCTTAGCTAATCTACTATATTAAATAAGACTTTTTAAAATTTCAGAGAGACAATCTTAGCATCGCCTGTCCATCCGTGATAATTTAGTCACCCTAACTTTTCAATCAACATCTTCAAGTGGACACATGAAATGTTGCTATCATTGTAGGATATAATTTTATAGCAATATTTTAATTTAAAAATTAATTTTATTTTTTAAATTTAATGGTGTGACAGTCTACTAATAGGTAAGGAAACTTTATCTCTTTCATATTTTCTTTAATCATCAATTAATTACCTCATTTGAACATCATTAAATTTAAAAATTAAACATAAAAAATGAATTTATATATCATTTTTCATAATTTTAAGGGTCCATCATCTAAAGACTTACCAACGAAGTAGGCGTCGATGTGAAAAGTCAAAGTTCCAATAGATGGGTTGCTTTGTTTGTCAAAAAATTGGCTGAGAATCAACCATCTTACCTGCTCCACATAAAACTCAGCATCCTTAATATTACGTGCTATTGTCACTCATCAATTATCAAATAATATATTTTTTTTCTTATTTTTTATGTCTCGACACAAAATTATGAGTCTTAACTCTTTCATCAATCATAATTCCCCTAAAGTAATTACCTAACCATGTATGAAAATTGTTGAATAATGTTCTAAAAAAGCTCTATTCATACATAGAATTCATACAAAAAATACTCTACAAGAATAATGTGACAATATCATTATCTCAAATAAATTTTTATGAATGTTTTGTTTTAAAATTAAAGATGCACATTAAATTATATCATTCTGTATAAAAATTTTATATAATTTTTTTTTTTTTGTATATCATTACTCGTTAGGCTAAGTACTATTCAAAAATGTTGTATAATATTAAAATAATGTTAAAAAAAATTACAATTTTGATGCATATTATATATATATATATATTTTAGTAAATTCTATTGATTTTTCTTGAGTTTAAAAATATATACAATAAGTCTTACATGTTTGACAAAATTATATTAAATTTTCATAAGATTTTAGTTCACATAATACTTTAATATCATTTTCATCAATAATTTTGTTAGTCATATGAAAAGAAAATGATGTTATTATCTTTTTATACTAAAATATGTATTTTATCTTATTTATTCTCATGTTTTCATATCATCTGTATCAGTTACAGACTCTTTTTCTTTACAAAAAAGAAGATCAATATAATTATTTAAAAAATAAAAGACTTATTGTATTTTTTATAAATCTTAATACAATTTACATACATTTTTGTATATTTCATACATATATCAATATATATATTTTTCCCATTGAGTTGCCTTTAACATTTTATTATTCATTTATAAGGTTGTGGAAAAGGGGATAGAATCATGAAAAGAAAATGAAAAATTAATTAGAACTTTACAAACATAACTAGAAAAATTACTCAGAATTTTACTTTGAATGAATGAATATGTAAATAAGATTCATTGTACATATGAACCACAACATAATAACTTTAAATCTACACCCTATCCATCATTTTTTATGTAAATTTATTGTTACCATTTCATGGTAATTAGAATTATTGTTTCAAATTGGTTGGATATTCATAACATGTTTGGGAAAAAAAATTAGGGCAAATTACGATAGTTCCTATATTTTATCCTTTGCGTCATTTTAGTTTATATACTTTCAATTGGTTCAATTTTGACTTTGAATTTATAATTTTGTCTCAATTTGTTCAAATTGATTACAACTCTTAATATTTTTATGAAAAATACGCACAAAAGTGTCACGTGCTATATTTTTAAGGGCAAAATTATAGACTTACTCAACTTCGTTAATTAACCTTGTAACGGCCCCAAAATGCGTATAAAAAATTATCCTTATTTAATTATGGGTTGATGAGCTTAAATTTAATTATATCTGTTTGAATTGAGGAATTATCTGTTGAGTTACGACATTGAAACTGAAATTGCCGACCTTTATGGGTTCAGAAATCAAAATTGAGTACATAGATATGCTAATGGGAATTTTTAGAGCCATTTGGGAAAGTTAATTGAAAATTTATTTCATCTGATTCGTTAAGGTGTGTTTGGGTGGTTAACTTTGCACTGCAAATTGAA